CTGGATCTCAGAAATATGCTGTGGGGAAATTTCTAGATTATAAAATGGTGGATTCCAGACCAATAATGGATCAAGTGGGAGAGGTACAAACTCTTCTCCATGAAATCCATGCTGAGGGGATGAGGCTGTGTGAGACCTATCAGGTTGCATGCATCATTGAGAAGCTTCCACCTAATTGGACGGTCTTCAAAAACTATCTGAAGCTGAAGAAGAAGTGGATGAGTCTTGAAGACCTAATCATGAAGCTCCGTGGAGTAGGTGTGGAAATTTGCGAATCCAATGCGAATGTGGTGGAACACCAACACAAAGGGCGCCAGAACAAAGGACGCCAAGACAAAGGATAGGGCAAAGTACCACCACAGAACTCACAGAAGTTCAAAAAGAAGAAATTTGGTGGTGGTGAAAGCTCACAAAAGTTCGCTGGAACATGTCACAATTGTGGCAAAACAGGCCACAAATCCTTTGAGTGCCGCAGCAAAAAGGCTCAAAAGAAGAATGAAGCAAATATGGCCTATCCAGAAATGTGCGCGATGATCACTGAGGCAAATGTTGCTGAGAGCCATCCAAAGACTTGGTGGTTCGATACTGGTGCAACCAGGCACATCTGCTTGGACAGGTCAATGTTTTCTTCCTACACCAAGAATAAGAGAGACGAAAAAACTCTTTATGGGAAACTCTGCGACATCAAAGATTGAAGGTTATGGGAAAGTTGTTCTGAAGCTTACCTCTGGACGTGAGCTCACCCTGACAAACGTAGTCCATGTGCCGGACATGCGCAAGAATTTGATCTCTGGATCTCTCATGAGTAAGCATGGAATTACTATTAAATTAGATGCGGATAAGCTGGTGCTATCCAAGAATGTGATGTATCTGGGTAAAGGGTTTGTTACTGATGGTCTTTTTAAGATGTGTGTTGAAACTGTTATTTGCAGCGATGTTGTAACCGAGGCTTCCACCTCGAAGAAGAATGAGAATAAGAAACCAGTTGCTTATTTGTCTGAGTATTTAACTTTATGGCATGAACGTTTAGGACATGTTAACTTCAAAACTATGAGTAGATTCATGAACATGAATATGATTCCTAAACACAAAATAAGTAAAGACAAATGTGAGATTTGTGTTCAAGCTAAACTCACTAAAACACCATCACATAACGTGGAAAGAACAACTGAACCTCTAAGTTTAGTTCACACTGATTTATGTGACTTAATATGTGAAAAGTGGAGGTGGGAAGAAGTATTTTGTAACCTTCATAGATGATTGCACAAGATACTGTTATGTATATCTACTAAGCAGTAAAAATAAAGTTTTGGAGCAATTTAAAGAATATAAGTTGGAAGTAGAAAACCAACTTAATAAAACTATTAAAATAGTTCGAAGTGATAGAAGAGGAGAATATGATGAACCTTTTAATGTGTTCTGTAGGGAACATGCCATTATTCATCAAACTACAGCTCCTTATTCACCAGAGTCTAACGGAATTGCAAAACGAAAAAATAGAACTCTAAAAAAAATGATGAATACAATGTTGCAGGAATCTGGGTTACCCCAGAACATGTGGGGGGGGGGGGGAAGCTTTGCTTACCATAAATTATATCCTGAACAAAATAACGCATAAACTTACGAGAAAAACTCTGTATGAACTTTAGAAAGGTAGAATACCTTCGTATAAATAACTAAAAGTATGGGGTGTCTAGAAAAAGTTGCAGCTCCACCTCCAAAAAAGATCAGAATTGGACCTAAAACGGTAGATTGCATTTTCATCGGATATGCTCATAATAGTAGTGCCTATCGATTTCTGGTACATAAATCAGATATACCATATATTCATGTGAATACAATAATGGAGTCAAGAAATGCTTCATTTTTTGAAAATGTGTTTCCATGCAAGGATAAAGAAAGCAATAAATGATCTCGTGATCAACGAGATGCCTCTACTTCCGGAAATAAAGCAAGCACTTCGGGCACTGCTATTAATGACGAGAAAAAAAGAAGAAGAACCTAAACGGAGTAAAAGAACTCGTAAGGAAAAAACATTTGGTTCTGAGTTCTTAGTACTTTTCCTAGCTGAAAATGAACCAAGAACATTAACAGAAGCAATGTCAACGCCAGATGGTCCTCTTTGGAAGGAAGCTGTCAATAGTGAGATAGACTCAATTAGACAGAGTCACACTTACGAGATAACCGATCTACCACAAGGGTTTAAAGCTCTAGGGTGTAGATGGATTTTCAAAACGAAGTTGAAAACCGATGGATCGATAGACAAGTACAAGGCTAGGCTTGTAGTGCAAGGATATCGACAAAAAGAAGGTTCAGATTTTTTTGACACCTATTCTCCGGTAACGAGAATAACTTCAATAAGAATGCTGATTGAAATTGCAGCACTGAGAGATCTAGAAATTCATCAAATGGATGTGAAAACTGCATTTCTAAATGGTGATTTAGAAGAGGAAATTTACATGAAACAACCTGAAGGGTTTGTTGTCCCAGGACAAGAAAACAAAGTCTGTAGACTTGTTAAATCATTGTATGGACTTAAACAAGATCCAAAACAATGGCATGAAAAATTTGACAATGTAATGATGTCAAATGGTTTCAGTATTAATGAATGTAATAAATGTATATACATAAAAAAACTCCTCACGGGTATGTTTTCCTCTGCTTATACGTTGATGACATGCTCATTATTGGGAGCAATAATGACATGATCAATCGAACTAAACATTTGCTAAGTAGTAAATTTGATATGAAGGACATGGGATAAAAACTACTCAAATGGAGTTGCAAAAACTCCAGCTGACCCTCATTTTCACTTGAAAAAAAATTCGGGTGAACCAATGTCACAAGTGGAATATGCAAAGGTGATCGGAAGTCTTATGTACTTAACAAACTGTACGAGACCCGATTTAGCGCACTCAGTAATTGTACTTAGTCGCTATACAAGTAATCCAAGTCATAATCACTGAAAAGTCATAACTAGAGTATTGAATTATCTTCGATACGCCAAAAGTTATGGGTTGCACTACGGTAAAGAATCATCAGTCTTAAAAAGTTATAGTGATGCCAATTGGAACTCAGATTCTAAGAATTCGAAATCAACAAGTGGATATGTCTTTACACTTGGTAGTGCAGCAGTATCCTGGAAATCTTCCAAACAGAATCTGTTGGCCAGATCAACCATGGAATCTGAGTTTATAGCGCTAGACAAAGACGCAGAGGATGCAAAATGGCTTCAGAATTTTTTGGAAGATATCCCAATGTGGGAAAAGCTAGTGCCAACATTACGTGTACACTATGATAGTCAGTCAGCTATATCTCGGGCACTGAATAAGCTATATAATAGTAAATCTCGTCATATTAGAAGACGACATAAAACCATTAGACATTTGATCTCGACTGGTGTACTCACGATAGACTACATCAAATCAGCTGAAAATCTAGCAGACCCGTTTACGGAAAGTCTGGCGCGAGATCAAGTTGTTAAATCATTAAGAGGAATGGGTTTAAAGCCTATAGATAAAAGTGACGCCTGATAATAATCCTACCTATGTGACTGGAGATCCTAAGATCTAGATTCAAAGGGAAAATGAAATCAAGCGGATTCAGAAGTGAGCACTGTGAAACTATGTTTGTTCCAGTTCCTAAGATGATAAACAGTGCTACCTGTGAGTGTTAAGGTTAAGCTGTCGCTTTTAATGATTCCATAGTTTTGAGATATTCGTGAAGTATTACATGTTACTTCTTCAAAACAAAACTAATAGGAGATCACCTAATGAGTGTGAAATGGGGCTGTTTCTAGGAGAATGAAAAGAAAGTTATATTTTCCAAGTTCACTCATGAAACCAGGATGTTCAAGGCCAAAATGAACACAATACAGAACTCAAGTTCTACAAGAAAATGTTGTTGCGCGATAACTGTTGTCTCGGTTTACATCAAAGTCTGAGTGGTTCAAGACATCATGTACACCTCCTGGCCGAGTAAATCCGACAAATATTAAAAATGATTGGTTCAAAGCTGAAAAATGCTACCTCTCAGATACAGTTGCATTTTTGCATACTCTCGAAAGTCTGTCTAGTCTAGTCAGAGTCGTGTCTAGTCTAGTCGAGTTAAGTTTTATCGAGTCAGTTGTGTCTTCATATGTTTAGAGTCATTTCTCTTCATATAGGGGAACTGTTGGGCCGAAATTTTTTTAAGCCCAGTAAGGATAAAAAGGAAATAGTGAAGAGGAAATGAGATTTGTCCCATATCGACCATTAAGGGTGAAAAGCTCTACTATATATTAAGAGTTTTCATACATGTTTGAATAACATGTGAGAGAAAAGAGGAAGTCCCACGCGCGCATTGCCGCCGCTGCCTCCACCAAGCCAAACCGGGCTGAACCGGACGCGGACGCTGATCGTGTTGGTCAAATGGGCCTTCGTGCCAGGCTGATATTCTTTTTGGGCCATAGTTTTATGAGCATTTGGTCAACGTTTTTATGTTGACTTTTTGTATATATTTTTTTATTCAGTCAAAAGAATATTAGATATTCATTATCCCCAAAAAAACGTAACAGATTATGATTAATCACAGATTGTTGATTTTTCACCTTTGACTTCGCTTATGGTCGCGATTCGTGTTCTAGTGGAATTTTGAAGACTCTTCAAGTCTCTTTCTCCACTATATATACACACTTCTCCTCTCATTTTTCACACCTTACACCTCTCATTTTTTTCTCAGAAATTTTTGCAACAATCTTTTTTTATTTTTCGTAAATCTTCTACCGCAAAAATGTAGTAGAACTAATTGGTTTATATCCGTGTACTCTGAAAACGGATAAGTTTAGTTTTATCATGTGATTCTTAAATCACAAAAACCCATTTGACAATCAATTAAAAAAATCATAATCTCGCCTCCACTCATTTTTTTTATTTTTAATGTTTTTATTTAATCTCATATTTCAATCACTATTTTATAGTATTTCAATCGCTATTTTATAGTGTTCAATTTATTTTGGTCCTACAGAAAATACTAAAACTTATTGAAGGGAAAAAACAAAAGAAAAATATGAGATCCGTTAGCTATTTATACAACATCGACATCCGTTGGTTCAGTACGATCCAGCTTTCGCGTTTGGTCGCTCTCGGGTTTGAGGATCCCACCCGCTCGGTTACCCGACGCGCCCATTTCAAGAGCTTCTATGTACAACACTTTGACCAAGTTCATGAATCTGCGCCGAAATGTCGGTATTCTTGACATTGATGCTACCATTCCCTGCAGCCTTCCATGAAAACAACAGCACTTGCCTCAGTGATATCATTCTCCAACATAATCACGTAAAGGGTAATCGGAAACTTTGCTCTAAAAGCCTCAGTTTCTTAAAAGAAATTGTCTGAATCAGCATGTGGGAACCCATTCATGACATTTTTACGTAAATACGAGAGAATATAGCCTTGAACCCAAGGAACTGCTTCTTCTGCTCTTGAGATCAACGTTTGTCTTCTCTCCTAATATTCTCTTCACATGAACAGCGTCTGTATTCGTCCTATAGCAAGGCCTGGCTGCCACAATTAGCATGTACTTTACAGTCATAAGTTTGTAACTGACCAATGCTGAATAGAGACACAGAAGGCTTATGTCATGGAAATGAGACACCAATGGAACAGAGCGCCCACTATGTACCTTAGCAGGCAAGTTCCTTCTCTTATATAGAGTAAATCATTTACGTATTCGTCAAACAGTGAGACCGCAGCAATTATATAGTTAAGTCCCATTCTGAATGAGTCCTCCTGAAAAGATTCTCAAACGATTAAACAATATAGAACATCCTAACGGATCTGAAATTATCAATGTCTAGCAAACTATAAAGAAAATCCAATATCTACAAGCGAGACATTTTCAATATCCAAGTAATGAAAAGTCTTAAGAGCTTTCATGGCTAAGCTTCAACTAAACTAACATAAAGAAGCCAGGGCTTATTGTACAGAAACTAAATCATAAAGATCTGCAAAATCACAACCAGATGGAGTCAAGGAATAATTCAGTTTGCCATAGATTCACCCAAAATCCAAAGGACATCCCTAATAACCAACTCTGTAAGCTATGAAACCACTGAATAAACTTTAGTAGTAGCTGCGAACCTGATGAACGACGACTCCACTGTACATTCCTAGAAAGAAACTGGAGAAAACCGAAGCTATTACAGCTCCCACGACAGCTAGTGGCCATAGCAATATAGCAAGACCTGCAAATGGAACACATACAGTCTCCAAGAATGGGCCTTCTCTTCCAACAAGGTCTTCTAATAGTCTCTTCCATCCTTTGAGTAACATATACGGACTTTTGTAAAGAGCAACAGCTGTTATCAGAACGACATCTACAACCACACCAATGAGACTAGCAAGAAGACAACTTGGTACCCGAGACAACCTGGAAGAAATATGAGATTACCCCGTCGCTATAAACTGTAACCAATTTTTTAAAAACAATGAAAGTGAATATCTAACCTTATCTCTAACGGTTTAGCATCGGCGGAAACCATTTCTCTTAACTCATCCATATAGGAGAAGTAAGAATGGAAGCAAAAATCCGTGAAGTCCGTAACCGCAGTACAACTACCTTTAATAGTGGAGAATGAACCATCAACAAAGCAATGGTAGCATTTGCTAGTAACAGACTCTCCTACAGCCTCGAATGTAGCCATAAGGGGCGTGAAAAACCCGTAAGCGATTCCACCTAAGAGACTTCCTGCTATACCAGCAACAGGCCAGAGGAGCAAAGGCACTGGAAACAATATTAATGCCACGGTCTTCAAAACCACTCCGATTCTCTTGGTTCTAGAGGTTACAGAAACAAGATTATTAGTGGAAAATACAGAGAAGATACGAGGAAAATTGGTTTTGAATTTGATGGATTTAAACCTTGCTAAACAGTAGTAGGTCCAAACGAAATGTGCTGGCCAAAGACCAATGATCACTGATGAATTGCCAATCAGAATTATAGCAGATGAGATCGGACCAACAATCAGAGCTGTGAAAACACAAATCAAAAGAAGAGTGAGAACTTTACAACGAATACAAACTTCCAGTGCTGCTTAAATACCATGAAAAAAAGGGCTTATTGTCATTGGATTAAAGGGGTGCGTTTTCTCGCTTGCGAGTTGCGAGTTAATCAGATCATGATATGTCATGTGAAATAGCGTTTTATCGGAAAAAAGTAACATGATATTTTTGATAAAAAAACGAAAAAAACGTACGAAATCCATGTTAATTCAAATATAACACACTTGACAAAAACCTACTTATTAACGATTTTCCCATCTGATTTTTGCAAATAATAAGAAAGAATTTCAATGTCTACTGCATATTCTCTTTTACACAATGATATTTACTTCACATTTATGAGAACTTCCTCTCGCATTTAAAAATCTTAATCATACTAAACCTCCATCCAAATCAAAGCCATCCTCTAATACTAGTTCCAATAAAAAGATTAACAGGATGATAAGTCTAAATGACGTCAAAAAAAAAAAAAGAAAGTCTAAATTCAAAACAGCAACTATCTCATTTGGCCATGGAAATTTCCAAAAAACTATAATCTGAACATGAAATGGAAAACTTGAGTTGCAACTACTCTGGACCTAACTCCAGAGACTTAATATAGATCGTTAAAACTTGCTTCAAGTTGCGATCATATGGAACGACCGATTGGTATCAATATGATCATCAAGGGTAGTCATGACGTACCCTTGGCGAGGCCGAGAAGCAGCAAGAGGAAGAAGAAGGGAAGGAAAGAGACGAAACTCCACAGTTTCTCCAGGAACCCTATTGGAACCTCCATTACTTTCGTTTTTTGGCGATTCAGTGACCAGCCAAAAATGCGACATAAATAAGCCGAAAATGGAGGTCGGTGGGTGTACGTGGCACTCCCCTTAACACGTGGCGACTAGAAGGTTTATCGTGGGACCCACCCACTACCTTTACGCTCTTGGATGTGGAGAACAATGTTTGTTTTCTCCACAGTAATGGTAAAGGTAAACTAAAAAACTCCGGTTAAGCTCAATCTGGAGTTATTAGTGGTTTGGTTAGTAATTGGAACGCTGTGTTTATTCCCACAACTGTACCTTGCAATTGCCGATGTTCCCACATTAAAAGAGCTATCATTTGACATGCACAACAGAATCTTATCTACTACAACTTCGAGACATTAAAGGAGCATTGGTGTAGGGTTTTAGAATTCACATTTTTTTACAAGTGTCAACAAATCATCACTCGTAGTCTTATGGACAAAAGCCAACAAGGTTGTACAAAAACTGCAAAGCGATGGGGCGTTGATTTTCTTCCTCTACTAGTCTAAAGTCTAAGGCTACTGGAATATTTCTCATTCAGAACAAGCTTCAGAGACAAGGTGATTTGGTTGCCTTTCAGTTGAGAGGGTTACCCATTTTCCGGTCTGAAATGACATTTTGTTCATGTTCTTCCACTTGTCCTTGAGGTCGCTTGGAACCCGGTCGTCGTGAAACACATCCCTACCAAATTCCAAGATCTTCCGCCAAGGAATATTCCGGAAGCCTGGAAAATTCTGCACACCAACCTAAAGGACAAGAAGAGTCATCATATCACAATTATGCACTACACAGGAAGACTATAAGCTCATGTTAACCCTTGGCTATTTACACTTTCATTTGGTCTACAAAACAATTGCATTATGACGGAAAAAGAAAAACAGCCTCTGAGGAGAAGCTAGAGAGCTCATTCAAGATTAGAAAAATTATACAAGACTAGCTATCCTTGGGTGTTGTTGGAAAGCTGATAAAACTTAACCGGTAATAAACATTCATGAGGAGCTCAAAGAGACAGAGAATGTGTAAAATCCAAATTACAAAAAAAAAAATAATCAGGACGTCTGCAGCAAGAAAGAGAAATTTGAAATATACGTGTGATGGGAAGAAATTTGGTAGTTTCATACCCTAAGCATTTCTTCTTCTGCCTGCGTCCAAAACAGTCTTTTACGTTTTTTGTCACTGCATGAAACAAACTTCCTGCGCGTCAAAGGAAAGCAAGTTTCTTAGCTGCTGCTTAGTTTTCTTACGAAAAAACCTCGATTAAGCTAAAAGACAATTTAAATTCAACGAATTTCCAAAAGAATGGGAACCTGTGTCTGGGATCATCAGATGCAGATCCATTCTTCTCCAGGTAACTTTTGTGTCCGTATTTTTCATGTTGAAAAGACGGTTTCTTTGGAGCTGCGGAGCGAAAAGGTTGTGCTTCGATTGGTCGTTCTTGTACACCAGGGTGGATGATCAAAGCTAACTCTTGGGAAGCTGCATTAGAGTCGTTAACATTGTCTGTAGAGATAGGAGATAATATAGACGATGTAGAGTTACGCTCTATTTGCTCTTCCTTTCCGAAACCATTATTTTCCTTGTTGAAGGTCGCATCATCATTTCTCATATTACCTTGCAATTGGTTGTATTGATTCTCCGCCAAGTCAAACTCATCTCCATCTCTCACTACTGTTCCTTCCCGCTTTCTCTTCCCATCCTTAAAAACTTCCTTCTCCTGAGTTTCAGTTTCGTTATGCTGGTTCTTTTCAATATGTTTTCCCTGCCGAAATCTCATGTTGCCAAATCCAGAACCGTGCGACAATCTTTTATCAGGCCTACGGACTTCCTGCTCACAACTTTCAGTAGCTGACGCATTCTTTTGCTGGTTATTCTCATGGCAACATCCTTGCCTGCCTGTTCCCTCACCCATATCTGAATTGCGCGCTTGTGTTTCTTCATCATTGATAAAGACGTCCTTCTCATCAGTTCCTGCAAGTCTTTTGTTTTGCTGGCTCTTCTCACTGTATATCCTCTGCTTTCTTGTATCGACACCAGCAACAAAACTGCGTGGTTGCGCTGTTTCATGGTTTACATCACATCGTCTCTGCTTCTTTGTTTCATCATCTACACCAGAATTCTGCATTCGTACTTCTTCATTGATTTTCTCACAACCTCTTGCCCTTTCCTTTCTTTCCTCACCGGCATAAGTAATGCACATCTCTGAAGTCTCTTCATTGCTCTCACTAAATCTACCTCGCTGCAGTCTTCCCTCTTCCACATCATCATCATCACCAGTCTCAGAAGATTCCCGAGACTGAGTTTCAGCCGCAACTTCTTTCATTCGCTGTTCCTTCTCCATCGCCATGAATTTCTCGTATGATTCATCACTCTCCCTTCTATTCCCACTAAGATCAACACTTGTTACTCTTCTACTTCCTGAAACATTTACCTCAACTACATTCTCTATATTTTCACTAACTTCATCCATCATTGACCCCAAATCTATTCCTCCTAAAGTCTCTCTACCTTTCCTAGACTTCTCAATCACCAAAAGCTTCTCTCTTAGATTCACAGACTTCGCAATTACACGCTTATAGCAACAGTAAGGACAATAAAAATTTCGGAATTCATCAAAATCAGGCTCATCAGATGTACAGCTTTGATGAATGGCTATAGGACATTCCTCTCCGTGACATACCAAAAGCCAGTCGTCATTTCCATCACACACGTAACAAGTATTAGACTTTAGCCTATTCTCAGTATCACCAGCCTTATTGTATCCTATCATTCGCCGCTTTCCTCCAATAATACCATTCTCATGAGTTTTGGGGTTTCCTTCATCTTCGTCGTCCTGTGTAGAAAAATAGTTACTAAACCGTCGATTAATCTTTCAAAAGTATCCAATTTCAACAAGAAGCAGAAAATTTCGATGGTTTCCCAAGTGGGTATCTAAAATCAAAATGCCTTTTACCGAATCGGAGGCAGGAGATGAAATTCGAACCCTTTTCTTGTTGACAATAGTCATACTTCTTGTTCTCCAGAAAAAAAAAACTCACGAATTCAACGGAAAGGGGAAGATGAGGCTGAAGAGATCGGCGAGATTAGTGTGTTAGGTTTTAGTTCGTACGTTCGAATTTCAAAAAAAAAGGTTTGTTTTTCTATTTGGGATGAGAACTGAATTTGTTACAACTTGAGGGATTTTATTGTAATATACGAAAGTTTAACGCTCTTTTGCGAATAGCGAATTTCTAGCCTGCTCTTCAAATTCATAATAACTCTGCTCCATCCATTTTATTCTCTCAAACCCTTTCCTTTCAATAAAACTATTATGGACCCGTGCACAAATTTTGAGGACTAACATGAAACATTCCTTTAAAAAATTATTTATTTAGACGTACATTTCTTCATTTTTCATATCCCTCGCGAATCCCTCACCTTTTAATGAGTTTGGAAATGTCAAAATAATCCTTGTAATTTTCTATAGAAAAAAATTAGAAATAAAAATTCGACCAATGATAATTAAGCGTTAATAAACTAATGAAAAGCGGTTTACCAAATTTCGGCCAATGAGATATAAGCACAATTAGCCAATCAAAAACGAGCGTCTAAAAAATTGACCAATCATAAAGGTGTAGAAAAATATTAAACGTTAAAAATTTATCCAATCAGGAAGAGATTAGTAACAGGGGCTTTGTGGACCATCTTTAAACCATCTTTGACTAGCTTTATTTTTTCGATTACGAGGGATATTATTCAACTTCGGAGGATAAATGGATTTCAGCACCAGCTTCCATGTATGGTATAATGTTTAAGTCATCAACTTTGGAGGAGATTACTTATTCTGGTTTAGTGGATAAAATATGCACGAAGGTTAGGATTGTCGAATCTTCGAGTAAGCTGAAACTGAGTTACATTCCGGTACTAGTGCAAACTCATAAACAATTCTATATTTCGAATGACGATGACCTAGCTTTGTTCCTGACCTCATTGGATAAAGAGAGACGCAAAAGTATTATTCATGTAAAGGTCATCAAAGGTGTTGAAGTTGGAGAGAAATTTTCAAGAGTTGAGAGGGTAAGTTTAGTTGGTATCAATTAGGGGGGTTGCGTTTAGGTAATGGTGGATTAAATAATGGTGTACTTGCTATTTACATAGGCAACTGTTCAGCATAACAACATCAACAGAATGTCTCGGTGATAGAGGAAGCTGATGATGATGATGTTGACGAGGGAAAAGATGGTGATGATGTAACACGTGACAATGAAGAAGGTGGTGATGATGTATCACGTGACAATGGAGTAGATGATGGCAATGGAGTAGATGATGATAAAGCGAAGTTTGATAACAAGGAGGAAGAATACAGACGATTTGATTTTGATGATGGTCCCCGTGCTGAAGTAGAAACACAACATTTTGAATGGGATGATGGTATGAATCTGAGAGTAGGACAACAATTTGCATGTAAACAAGATTTGATAGATTTATTGTATAAAGCTTCACATCTGAATTGTTTTGTTCTGAATATAAAGAATTCAAATAAGAAGCGATACATGGTGAAATACGGTGAAACGGGGTGTTATTGGTATTTACGAGCTTGGAAGGATGCGAATACACCCTGTTTTTTTGTAATAGTATACCGGAAGATGCATAGGTTTTCTCGGGCCAGTGCGAGTACAAACAGCAAACAAAGGAAAGGAACACCAGGATTAGTAGCATCTGTTGTTAAGGAAGCGTATCCAGGTCGATTAGATAGACTAACTCCTCACGATGTCATGGTTATGGTTAAAAATAATGCTTCTGTGAGTGTGTCATACTCTACCGCATGGAAAGGAATACAGAAAGCTAAATCTCTGATTCCTGGTTATCTTGAAGACAAGTATAGAGATCTGTACTCGTATTTGTACATGCTAGAGCAGGTGAATCCAGGTACAAAACACAATGTGTTACTGGACGGACAACAAAGATTCAAGTTCTTATTTGTCACTTTGGGAGCTTGCATTGACGGGTTTGTAGCAATGAGGAAAGTGGTAATGTTGATGCAACTTTTTTGAAAGCCGGAATGGATTGTCAGCTAGTCTTTGCTGCTTGTCAGGATGGTAATCGTCCCCATTATCTGATTGCTTTTGGAGTAATTGATGCAGAAAAAAATGACAGTTATGGCTGGTTTTTCAGGGAGTTGAAAACTGTTATACCCGATAGTCCTGAATTAGTTATTGTTTCTGACAGAAATGTAAGCCTCATCAATGCAGTAGCTGAGGTTTACCCGGAAGCTAAACATGGGTATTGCATCTGGCATCTGAGCCAGAATGTGAAATTGCAAGTTTCATGTGATAGATAAATAGTTGGAGAGACATTCATGGAGTGCGCAAGACAGTATACGGAGGCCGAGTTTCTTGATCATTATAGAAGGATGGCATTAAAGTATCCTAAAGTGACCGAGTATCTAGAAAGGCGTGTAGAAGTATCAAAATATGCCAGGTGCTATTTTTCAGGAGATAGGTACAACCTAGAGACTAGTAACGTTGTGGAGTCCTTGAATAGTGTACTTAACGATGCAAGGAGGCTATGCTTATTACCTATGGTGGATAAGATTTTTGCGAAGTTGTGTGAGTGGTTTAACAAGCATAGGAATGAGGATGCTTCTACGCCACCAGGATGTTGAGAATATATTTCACAGTAGATGTGCTGAAGGGAATAGGCTAAATGTCACCGAGTTAAACATCAGTCAAATTGAATACAGTGTAATCAAAAGCGATGGGATGAATTACTCGGTGAACTTGAAAAGTAAAACTTACTCGTGTAAGTGGTTTGATATAGACAAATATCCTTGTGTGCATGCCTTAGCCGCACTTGAGCATTACATGAAGCGGCCAGACAGAGAAGAGGATATATACGTAGAGGACTTGTGTTCAAAGTATTATTTAACCGAGCAGTGGGCTTTTGCTTATAACTTAACGATCTATCCAGTCCCACACAAGTCACATTGGGTTGTCCCCGATGATATAAAGCAATTGAGTGCTTTGCCCCCGGAACACGAGAAAAAGTGGGGGGCAAAACAGCAGAAAAGGCATCCATCCGTTGGAGAGCGTCGACCGAAGTCTAAGAAGGCGAAGACGAATAATAAGCGTTGCCCTGAATCTTATGGAATTAATTCCTATTTTACTGCAGGTCAAAATGTTGGAGCTGAAAATGCTGCAGGTGCCTCTGAAAGTACTGCATGTGCCTCTGAAAGTACTGCAGGTGATAACGTGGTTTAGTTACTCTGAACTCCTTTAATTGGAGATCAAATCGATGTTCTCAGAATTTCAATGGAAAATCGAAGTGTTTGATGTTAACTATACTATTTATTTTCTATAAGACAATTTGTAAACAATGCTAAAAAATAAAATTGAATGATGTGGTGCTTTTAAGTGTATCAACAATGTAAATGTTTAGTTTTGGTCAGAAAAACTTTGTATAACTACGCTCCAGTTATAATGTTTAGTATGGACATTTGTTGCCGAACACAAATAATTGTGAATTGGGGAGGAGAAGCAAGAGCGAAAAAGTTGTGTAAAAAAAAAGTGAAAGTAGTACTTTAAGGTCAGAGAATGTCGTGTAAAAGTTAAAAACCCGATGGAATGTTCGTCGGAAGAAGAGAAAGGTGATCATGTGTCAGGTAGAATATTATTATAATAATAGGAAATAAGATTAAAGGAAACCCGTTTCCAGGTGACGTCGTTTTGAAAAGGTTAACCAACCCTTAACCACCAATAGACCAATTTAAACCGATTTCATAATTTGGAGATGACAAAATACGATCACGATAATAATCAGTATTTTAAAATATGGTCGTTTTTATGCTAACACTTTCAGAGACTAGTAAACAGGGTTTCAAAATACTAAAAATAATGAAGAAATAATACGAATCTCACCACACCCGACACTTAAGTGTCAATCTCCTTCTATAGTCACATTGTCAAGCTTATGCCATCAATGATGGAAAGAATACGTATCATACTTTTCCTCGAATTTGGTTTGATGAACAAGATGATAATTTGATTTTATAACCAATAATGAATCGTATAACCGGAATATATTCTTTCAAATTCAATATTACTGCGAATACGGTATATCCACCAAAAGTACAACTATGTGGACGATGAGTATAACTGGAAAACAAGGCACAACTACGTTTTAAATTCCCAGTTACAATAAACGATATGTGTCCATAATAAAATAAATTATGTCAACCACACGTGAGTTACGATATGTGTTTTTATATGAACACATGTCTATGTGTCAGGTAGAATATTATTTTAATAATAGGAAGTAAGATTAAAAGGAGACCCATTTCCAAGTGACGTCGTTTTGAATAGGTTAACCAGCCCTTAACCACCAATAGACTAATTTAAACCGATTTCATAATTTGGAGATGGCAAAATACAATCACGATAATAATCAGTATTTTAAAATATGGTCGTTTTTATGCTAACACTTTCAGAGACTAGTAAACAGGGTTTCAAAATACTAAAAATAATGAAGAAATAATACGAATCTCACCACACCCGACACTTAAGTGTCAATCTCCTTCTATAGTCACATTGTCAAGATTATGCCATCAATGATGGAAAGAATACGTAGCATACTTTTCCTCGTATTTTGTTTGATGAACAAGTTGATAATTTGATTTTATAACCAATAATGAATCGTATAACCGGAATATATTCTTTCAAATTCAGTATTACTGCGAATACGGTATATCCACCAAAAGTACAACTATGTGGACGATGAGTATAACTGAAAAACAAGGTACAACTACGTTTTAAATTCACAGTTACAATAAACGACATGTGTTTTCACTTGAACACGTGTCTTATTGGGTGGAACAAGTAGACCCCATTACAATTATTTATTATTTCCCGGGTTTATCTACGAAACTCAAATTTGTTTCCCCCCCCCCCAATACAGACATTTCCAATTTTGAGTTCCCCCCCCCCCCCAAAAAAAAAATTTCCAAATTTGAGTTCCCCTCCAACATCAAAATTCAATAAAATATATGGGTTTAAGCACAAAACAACCAAAACACGAACACTCAATTTTTGCAAAATAACAATTTCTTGCAAGAATGCCAAGTTTCGGCTCGTCGTCCGACTCAAAGATTTCAAGCGGGAGCCCTCCACCCAAATTGT